TTTTGAAATAAATACATTATATATTTTGGAAAGAGTATAAGAGTGGTTGAAAAATAGGAATGATAGACTAATTGCAGATAGTGGGCAGCAGTTAAGCAATAGTTGAAAATTTACAGGTATAATATCATTTGAGGAATAGTAACATGTAATTAAGTAGACCTATCTTCATTCTTATATTTATGTTCATATACAAATTCTAGAAAACTAAAAATTCATTTCAGTATATTGTTTTGTTAATAATTTTTTTTTCTTATATCATCCTTTTTGCCATAATTCTCACACCACTGTGTCACCCATGAACCAGCACCACATTCCCTTGTGTTTATCCCTCTTTTGTTTTGCCCCCTCACCTTTTCCTTTGCTGTATGCCTTAGTTGTATGGTCCACTTGCTCGTTTTGACTTTTTTTGACTTTTTTTTGGTTTCTCCAAATTCCACATATAAGTGAGAATATCTATTATCTTTTGCCTTCTGACTGATTTCAGCTAGCATATTCCCTTCTAGTTCTGCCCATGTTGCCACAAATGGCATGAATTTGTCTTTTTTGATAGCTTAGTAATATTCCACCATACAAATATACCACAACTTTTAGATTCATTGGTCTATTTTGGGGCATTTGGGTTGTATCCTTGTCTTGAGTATTGTAAATATAAGAGTACAAGTTTCCTTTCATAGTGTTTTTGTGTCCTTTGGGTAGATTCTTAGGAGTGGAATTGCTGGATCTTATGGTAGGTCCATTTTTATTGTTCTGAGGAACCTCTACACAGTTTTCCGTAGTGGCTTAACCAGTTTACATTCCCACCAGCAGTGTAAGAGGGTTCCTTTTTCTCCATAGCCTCTCAATATATTTCAGTATGAAATATTTTTGTCTTTTGAATTTGTAATTGTCTAGTAATGCTTATGTCTCTGCTTATTGTCATTTATTCAAGTCAGCATTATAACTATGATCAATTTCTAAATTATGGACTTCAAAAATTGATCAAACATGATTTTCTCTACTAGTTTATAATTTAAGCAGTAAATATTTTTTGAATGAATAAATAATTCAGAATTCAAACATATCATTTAATATGTTGCCTTTTCTGAAAGACTGAAACCCTATATTTCAGTTATAGAAGAAATGACTCACTACTCAGTGCATACATTAATTGGCTAATTCACAGCCCAGGCAGACAAGGGAACACTGCATGTTTTAAAGTCAGAAAAAACTGAGATCTGGATGAATTTGAATTAGAAAACTAATCAAGAGCAACAACAAACTTCTGGAACCTCTTATTACCAGCAGCATCTTTAAAGTCTTTATTTTTACTAAAAGTCTGTTCAAGGTGGTTGAGAATTTCAGTAGTTTGCTCCTTAATATTCCATCCTCGGTGCACTGCTCAGTTCTAAAGCCCATGTCACAGTTTGGTGTTTGCTACAACAGCAACCTACTAACTGGTGGTCCTAGTTAGGGCAGTAAGGAATGAAAAAATGAAAAAGACTGTAATGAAAAAAAAATTAAACTCTACCTTGTCAGATAACAAGTTTATGTATGTTTAATAATTCAGACAAATGCCCAGGAAAATAATCTGAGCTACTAGGCAAATATAGCAATGTAACTATATAAAAGGTTATATATACAAAATCACTTGTATTTATATTACATGTAGCAAAAAAGAATGTAACTGGCAGCTAGTATACTTCTATTACTCTTTGGTTTCTACTTCCTTTTTTTTTAAAGATTTATTTATTTATACAAGCACTGGGGTACAAGCCAGAGGCGCGGGAGGGTGAGAGGATTCACCAGAGACAGAGCAGGGAGCAGAACAGGTAGAAGGACCAAAATACACTGCTGAGGGGAGCAATGGGTGAGACGGGAGAGGTCTGCCATGCCATGTGGGAATCTTCCTGGCTGGCCGGTAATTGAACCGGCACTGCAGAGGCTGTGGACAGCTTCACAGCGCTGCGTTCAACCTGCTGTGCCACCAGGGAGACCCTGGTTTCTACTTCCTTAACTGTCGGGTAACCTTCTTGTACAAGCACCTATTAAACTGATGGTCCAGTCCCAAGAGTATGAGCTGTTGGAACCGAGCCAGCTGATATCCAAATCCATCTCTGCTTCACACAAGTGAAATTCCATTCCTCTAATATCCTGGGTGACACCTCTGCTCAGCAGGGAGTAGCTATATAAGAGAGAGACCATCACCCTTAAAATTCCTCAAGAATGAGGAATGAAACAAAACAAAGGGAAGATTTGTTATAGGACCCCTTGGACCTAGACTTTGCTTGCCTAACCTTCCTGCTATTAAGACATTAGGTTAGTTTCTGGACCTACTAAACATAGAGCTTCCATATGATCCAGCAATTCCACTCCTAGGTATTTACCCAAAGGACACAGAAACATCAATTCCAAAGAGCACCTGCACTCCTATGTTTATAGCAGCACTGTTTACAATAGCTAAGCTTTGGAAACAACCCAAATGCCCAAAAATAGATGACTGGATCAAGAAGATGTGGTACATATATACCATGGAATATTACTCAGCATTCAAAAAAGATAAACACATGCAATTTGCAGCAACATGGATGGCACTGGAAGGGATCATGCTCAGCGAAATAAGCCAAAAAGAAAAAGAAAAATACCGGATGGTCTCACTCATAGCAGGAATCTAGAAAACTTAATTAAGGGACCAGGAAAATGAATATAAGAAAGTGAAAATCAAAATCAACAAAAAACTATGAACCAGAGACACTTTTTGGGGGGTGGGGGCGGGAGGGGAAGGATTGGGGTCAGAATGGGGCGTTTGCAATTGTATGGGGGAATATAAAAATAAAATTTAATATTTAAAAAAAAAAAAAAAAGACATTAGGTTAGTGGTAATTTAGCCAATCACGAGTGATAAATAAGATACTGCACCCTACAGAAGGTGCAGTGCAGCCACTACTTTCAGGCAGTGGCTCCAGAACCAATTGAAATATGGCTGCACAGAAGCAAATGGTAAAAGGCTGAAGAAGCATGTAACCTATGTGCACATGCCCCAGTGTAGACCCCTAAAACATACTGTGAAGTTGCTCCCCACTCTTCTTTTTTTGTCCTGGTAAACAACTCCATATAAAACCAGGATCCACCTGCAACTTTCTGGCAAGAGTGTGGCTCAGGGCATTTACTGCTCCTCTCCTATGGTGTGACGTTCAATAAACATGCATTGCTTGAAACCTGGAAACAAAACAAAACTGATTGCCACTTACTATAACATTAATAAATTACTTGTTAAATTAATGATTTGTTCAAGCTCTACACTTAAATCTATAAATCAATTTATTTTCTATTCTGCCACAACAAATTATCATAAATTTAGTGATTAAAAAACCCAAATTGGGCCTCCCTGGTGGTGCAAATTGTTAAGATGCAACCTATGAAGTTATCCACAGCCAATGCAGCACAAATTCATCCCAGGCCCGGGAGCTACCCACATGGCGTGGCAGACCTATCCTGTTTCTCCCACTGCTCCTCTCAGCAGTGTATTTCAGTAGATCTGCCTGTTCTGCTCCCTACTCTGGTGAATCCTCTTACACTCCACACCTCTGGCCTGTACCCCAGTTTTTGTATGCATAAATAAATAAATCTTAAAAAAAAATTTTAAAAAACCCAAATTTATTACATAACAGTTCTTAAAGTCTGAAATCTGGTACAGGTCTCACCAGACTAAAACCCAGGGTGTCAGCAGGCTTCGTTATTTTGAAGGCTTTAGGGGAAACTCTGTTTCCTGTTCAGCCAAGTTCTTGACAAAATTTAGGTCCTTTTGGTTGTAGAATTGAGAGGTTCCTTTTCTTTTGGCTATAAACAGAATAGTTGCTCACTTTTCAAAGTCGCTACATTCCTAGGCTCATGAGTTTAGGTAATTATATGCTTAAAAGCCAGTTTTCATCCTAGATTTAAATTCTATGAGGACAGAGATTATATTTATTCTGGTTGTAAATATATACCATGATAATTTTGGTGCCTAGCACATAGAACAGCATATATACATAGTTGTAAAATGATTTTGATTATGTGTATTGCAGCCAATATTCATAAAACTGTTTCTTTCATTCATCCTGATGGATAATTAAATTTCCTGTGGGTGATCTTTCAATTTCCTAATACCTTTTTTTCCCTCCATGGGTTTCTAATATTTTGCATTTAAACACGTTGAAAACCTTTCCTGTATCTAACCTACATTCTACCTCTTTTTACTGGTTAATGTCTCTTCTTTACTTCACAGTCAAACTGTTGGCAAGTATCAGACTGAATTCTTACCTTTTCTTCCTTAACCCACAGCATCTCTCCTCACCACTTCCCTGAAATTACTTGTCAAGTTTGAAATTGCCTATCTTGTTTGGTACTGACTTCTTTGTTTCCAATATCCAAGGATATTTTTTAGTTTAAATCTTGTCAGTTATTCTGCAGCACTTGGTATTTTGACCAAATCTTCTCTTCCTTCGCAGCCTCTGTTATATTCCCACTCCTTGATTTTCTCTTATTTTTCAATCTCTTTCTTCATTTTCCCTGATAGACTGGTGTTATACAGCATCCCATCTCATTTTTCCTACAGTCTCCTATATAATTCCATCATCTGTAATTGCTGAAGTATTAAACAGCTTAATTAAATGTTTCTAATGCTTTTAAAAATTATTTATTTATTTATGCATGCCAGTACTGGGGTACAGGCCAGAGGTATGTGGGGAGCGTGTGAGAGGATTCACCAAAGACATAGTGGGGAGCAGAACAGGCAGATTGACTGAAATACACTGGTGAGGGGAGCAGCAGGCTAGTTAGGAGAGGTCTGCTGTGCCACGTCGGTAGCTCCCTGGCCTGGGATCGAACTCGTGCTGCAGTGGCTGGTGACAGCTTCATATGTTGCATCTTAACCCTTTGCACTACTAGGGAGGCCCTGTTTCTAATATTTTTGTCTTAGCTTCTCAGATCCATTGTGCCCCAAATTGACCTTCTGGTTTTTCTTTTTCTTTTCTTTTCTCAAGGAGTTGGTAGAGAAATTGATACATCTGGAGCAGCAATAACCTGGAGGTAAGATTATCCAGCTGGATAACTTGATAGGAGTGCTCTTCCTGGATGCTGGTTTGTGGTTCCTTTTTGAATCTTGTGTCCCCAAATGTACTGATGCCTTCAGGTGATTACTGAGGACCAATTGATTCTTCATTTGGTAGTGTAACTTAGTTTTTCTGAGGAAAAATTCCTCCTGTTTTTCCAGGGTAAGTGGATGGTAGCCTTGAGGTAAAAGGAAAACATTATATGTAGATGGGATTGCTCTTGAAACAATAGCAACCAAATAAGTAGGTATTTTCTGAAAAGACAGATTTTCTTTTTACATATTCTCAATCTCTTGCTACCATATGAGACCTTGTATTTATTCAGAACAAAATGTCATAACTAGTGGTTATTCTTAATTATTTGTTCTGTGATTTCTAGGCCATTTTTCTCTTATGAAAAACTTTATCAAAAACATTTAGTAACACTTAGAGTAATTAATATACTGTCATATATCTCTAGGATTTTAGAACTTCAGTTTATTTTTCCAAAATATATTTCCATGTTCTTCCAGTAGAGTTTAAATAATTAATGTATGAAAATATTGAAAGAGAAAACATAAATCAAAACTTCTCCAGCTGTTCAAAAAGTGTTGAAATATTTTCTTAAATAAACTTACTTGGAAAAATATAGGGAACATTTTTCTTGTTAACCTATTTGAGAGTGATTATCCTAATTATTTTATTTACAACAACTTTAGAGCTTTCTGAGTATTTTTTATTATATGACATTTACTTTGCCTGAATTTTTTTATTCTCAGTCATTTACCATTTTTCACATGTAAATATATATTAAATTATAAGCCAGGACAGGTGGCAAAAATTCTGTGCTAAGGAAATGTAGATAGTGAAATTAATCAACTTATGTGAAAATTGACTGAAGCAATTATAGTAGTGTTATCCCTGAAACTAGAAGTTCTGTATTTAATCTCTAGCTGTCACTTAGCAATTGGATAGCAAGGAGGTCATTTAACTGCACCTGTAGAAAAAAATACAGTATTTTCCTAATCTAAATAATGTATGTTTAGATTTAACATTAATAAATAACATTAACAATAATAAATAACATTAACAATAACATTAATAAATAATTTATTAATTCATTATAACATTATTTATACATTTATTAGCACATTATAGAGTTCTTTATAAATCAGATTAAAAACTAAAACCTAACTTGTTTATATGTTGAATCACTAGGCATTTACTTAAATTGACTTGAATATAAAAATGCTGATTATAACTTTTAAATCCCATTTATAAACTATTTGTTATAATGCATCCATTTATTCATTCATTCAAAAATATTAAACATTTTTTAGACTTTGATTGGTACTAAGAATGCATCAGTTAATAATAATGATGGTACTAATGAAAGGTGAAATGGCAAAGAATAACCTTTTTTTCAAGGACTTTTCAGTAGACACAAGATATTTCAACTGGGTATTTCCTCTTCTATGAGAGGAACATGTCTTCTCTTCACCTTTGCTTTAAAGATCCTCTTGAGTTAAATGCCTATTAGATAATTAACAATATAGTAAATGTGCCAGTAATAGAACAATACATAATACTGCCTTTTCATGAGACTTGAGGTCATCAGATTCAAACTAGAAAGGTCACATACACTTAACAGTGTTACACTGATATGACTTATAATGTGATTTACTCTCTTTTGCATGTAAGTTTACCATTAGCTTCAGAGCACTAATCACACTATACACACCTTTATGAAGTTCAAAATTATAGTTTTGTTAGTCAGATATTGGGACACAGCCAAGAGGCTTTTTTTTTTTTTTTTTTATGTAAAGGGATTTTTTTTCCTCAGACATCAGATCACATTCATCTTTGTTTTAGTTGTCTTCTCTGTATACAAGGTTTTCTATCACCTAGTGTCCACTTGGTTAACAATATTTACAGAGGAAAAATTATATTCATATTGTGTGTTTATGTTTATTTGAATATTTTTAATATCTTCCCTGATTGTTAGGATTGGGATTCAGAATTTAATCAGAGACCATATTCAATTTTTTAATTAATAAAAATAGTTAATATGATAACTTAGAGTTTTATGTAGAAGCACTTTAATGTTGAGGTGTTCCAGGACTTGGTGTTCAAGCCTCTTTTTTTCCTTTGGTGATGATTTCTTCTGGTTTCTTGGTTGTAAGTGCTATATAATCTTGCTGGTCCTGATACCTGTGTTCCATACTTGAGTATTTAACTGTTTACTTGATAGTGTTGTTCATATCATTAATAGATGTCTCAAATTTGAAAGGTTAATTTAAAATTCTATGGGATATGACTCCATCTTTTCTTATCTTATTTTCCTCTCTGTTAGTCTATATGAACAATATACTCTTGATTATATAAACCATTTCCTGTTTTCTCTGATGTTCTTTACTCTGTCTTAGTCTCCTAATCTAAGGGTAAATAACCTTCATGTTCTTTAATGCCTGTATCAAATATTTTACCTCTTGGGAACCTTCCTATATCCCCAATTTGAAATAATCTTTTTCTCATCTGAAATCCTATTGCATTTAATATGTTTTTTATGATATTTATTTTTATTTTGAGATAAGACATAATAGCTAATAATCGAGGATGAGTTCCTATGTTCCTTGAAGTCATGGTGTGTATCTACTTTATAATTTTTTTAATAAGATGTCATAAAAATATTTTAAATTCATGGGAAATTCCAGAATAATATGCTTGTAACAGATGACACTGAATATGAATATAAATACAGGAATAACCTCTCCAATTTTTTAATGTAATAAAAATATAATTTATTTCAGTCCAAATTCTTTTCATTGGATATTGCTGAATGTATGTACAATTTTAATGTAGAAAGGCTTATTTAAAAATTCCACTGTAATTTGAAAGACTCCATAAAAAAAGCTTATTAAAGTAATAAATATAGCAAAGTGACAGATTATAAAATTAATGTGCAAAATACCTGCTGTATTCCTATATTTACAAAAAATGAATTAGCAGAAAGAGAATTCAGGAAATGAATCCCATTTACAATTACATAAAAAAATAATTAAATAACTTGGAATAAATTTAACCAAAGAAGTGAAAGGCCTGTATACTGACAACTAAAAGATTCTGTTGAAAGAAAAGAAGAATACATAAAGAAATGGAGAGGTCTTTCATGTTCATGGATTGGAAGAATTAGCATTGTTAAAATGGCCCTATTTCTTAGAACAATATACAGATTCTATGCAATCCCTATTCAAGTCACATTTGTGACATATATTAAAATCAATATTATTTATTATCAGTATTATTACTATTATTAGTTTTATTATCATTATTAAGAATTTAATGGAAAAAGTTATTTCATGTCATATGACAGACACCACTGGGCATAGTGGAAAATGTGCATGCTTATCAGCTCCTTATTGCCTTGTTACCTTGACAAATTTCTCAGCCTCATTGAATTTCCCATTTATAACATGGCAAAAATAAAGGGTTATTGTGAAAATCAGGCAAATGCCCTTTTTCCTTAAATGCTAGGTTGTCAACTATTGTGTGAAGAGCCACTGACTAAATAACCTATTATGAGCACAAAGAAGTAATCACTAACACAAAGTAAACCAATAATTATAAAATATTTTAATTTATAAAATTTAAAAATATGGAGTATACAAATTAGAATTAATTATAATATGTATAAATCTTTTAACTCTAATTATAAACAAAATGTAGTAACTTGCACAAGGGTAGGCTACTTTACTTTGTATTAAGAATGTAAAACATGCTCTAAATAGGTGAGAGAAAATTTAAAAAAACACAATTATTTTACCTTTGTAAGACAGTAGTTGGTAAGTACTCTACAAGCATTTTCATGTTTGAAATTAATTTCTACAGCATATCCTTCACACTGTTACTTATTTATGCTCCTAAATCTCCTTTCTGAAATCCTTTAGATCAAGACTTCATGTGGATAGTGGGTTTGATCAGTGACTCAAGTCAGTTTGCTATCAAAAGGTCATAAGGCTCATTTGAAAATACTGAATATTAAGAAGGTTCCTCATACCACTAAAAATGGATCTACCGTATGACTCAGTAATTCCACTACTAGGAATCTACCCAAAGAACAAAACAAAAACAAAACATTAAATCGAAGGGAAAAGGAAACCTGCAGTCCTTATGTTCATTCCAACACTAGTAGTAATAACTAAAATATGGAAGCAACCTAAATGCCCAAAAACATATGAATGGATTGAGAAGATGTGGTACATATACACAATGGAATACTGTTCAGCGATCCAAAAAGATAGACTCATGCCATTTGCAAACATGGATGGAGCTGGAAGGGATTGTGCTAAGTGAAATAAGTCAGAAGGAAAAAAGATAAATATCAGATGGTTTCACTTATATGTGGAATATAGAGAAACTGAACAAAGGGTCAGGAAAAACATAAAATGTGCAAGCTCACCATAAATCTGAGGGATTTATACAGCAGGGAAGGAAGGGGTAGGGAGAAGGGGATACAAAACAAAGAAGCAGACCAAACCAAACCAAACCAAATCCTAGAAATCTAACTGCAGAACTGAGGCTACCAAAAGGGAAAGGTGGAATAAGGAATAGTGGTCAGAGGCCTCAATGGACAATTATGGAGGACTGGGGTACGTTGGTTGTGGTTGTGGTGTGGCAACATACATCTCTGAATAATATGCAGTGTCAGATACAAGGTTATCTCAGTAAAAAAAATATAATTACAAAAACAATTTGAAGGGAAAAATGTAAATTTAAACTGCACAATTTTGATAAATTTATTTAAAAATGTGTTAATTATATTCTACTCTTAATAGTAGTCATAAAAATAATTCTATATCATATTTTTATAACCAAAATATTATATAGAAATTTAATTTTAATTTTATTAAGACTATATGAAACATAATTTCAACTACTTTGATTGTAATGTGATATTCCACAAATTCTGATCCATATCCATTCTTCAATGAATAGATT